CACACGTTGCACCAGCATGACAGCGAACAATTATTTATGTGTTAAAAAACCCCAGAGACCATAAACCGATGGTCTCTGAAAACACACACGACAAATTGACCCTGTTCCGCATTACAGTGAAGCGTACGTAATATATCACACTCTCAACGACATCACCGCATCGGGACGAGCGTTATCAAACAACTATTTTTTAATGTTGTCGATTGTCCGAGCGCTTCCAGTTGATACGATTCCGTTATAGTCCCGACTAGTCCCGGTTTAACTGTAAAGTCACTCACAAGATCCAACGAGGAACACACAGGCACTACTCAAAAGAAAAGTTAATCCCGGTGTTTAGGGAAAGGGAAAAATGGATAATCGACTTCTAGGCCAATGCTAGGCTATTTAATCACTGTCGGATCACCTCATTATCTGTGAAGGGATGTACTAACCTTTATTAACCCTGGCCGTGTACATGGGGTTCAAGGTCGCGTTCAAGATTGTTACACTTGCGACGTGCATGCACATGTGTGTGTGGCTGCTTGTACTTGTCCGGACTGATGCCGGTTTAATAATGTTAGCCCACTGGGGTACCATGCCGCAGTTTAACATGAATACCCCACTCAGACACAGTATACTGACTCCGAGCCGACCAGTCCTTGTTTTAGCCCTTTAACGCCGGACGCCAGGCAGGGTAACAACAAGTACAATCCTTTTACTTGGTATGACGCGACCGGGGATCGAACTACCGACCTTCTGCTCTCCATGGAGTCGGCTTGTAGTCTTTGACAGAGACCTCTTCGACGTGTGCAATGTGTACCATATGAATGGAATTTGGTGCACCAAATACCCAGATCGACAGATGATCAGTCGTATTTTGGAACTAGAATGCTGTAATCTTGCATTCTTCTCGTATTGTTTAAAAAAACGAGTTACAGAAACTTTATTTGATTGTTTTTTGGGGGTTTGAATAAAGATTTGTATACGCATTCTTCACTATTCCTTACGAACAGCGATAATACAATATCGTGTTGTTGTTTTTATTTCACCTAATTGTAAAACATAATTTCCCCTACCCCATACGCCCAACAAATTGTCCAAAGTCCAACCAGTCACATTAACCCTGAAATTAGATTTGTTAATGTTTTCTCAGCTGTCGCTATCTTGTATGGTGATATTATTTACGGGTTGGCAACCTTAACATTCAAACACTAATTAGCATTGATAAGGAAGAGTATTTATGGATGTAGATTTCTTAATTATGAGGAGTATATGCTTACTCCTTCATAAGGTGAATAAATGCTATGAGGCAGAGAACATACATATGCACCTGTAAGAACAACAAAGTAATAAGATAACAAAGGTGGAAACTTAAAAAAGGGAAGACAACAGATAATTGGCGCTGATAGGTGACTAGCAATGGAAAAAGGAAGCCAACACTTAACTCATCACTGATTGGATATAGGCAATGGACAATGGGTAAACGGGAGACCGGGGTAATTAGCACTGATAGAAATAGAATGTAAATGACGGTTATCTCCCAAAACCCCTACATCCCATTTCCCCTGCAACCCAGCTCCCCTACAATTAGTTAAAACAACACGCGGCATTTACCTGTCTGGTATTATGAACTCACCTAAAGGAGAGATTAAGGTCTGGAGTAGAGGTAGTAGAAATGAGTTGAGATGACTAGGTTTAGTATATAGATACTTGAAACTGACTAACATGACATCAACATGTCTGGGCTTCGCTATGTTGAGTTTGTTATGTCACAGAGAGGAAAGCCCCAAGTCCTATTTGATGGTTATCTTCACACTAAGAACGTCGAGAGACTGACTTGCGTACACTATTATTTTGTTATAATGTATTATGAATTTTGAAAAATGAACATTTTATTATAATGTATTATGAATTTTGAAAAATGAACATTTTATTATAATGTATTATGAATTTTGAAAAATGAACATTTTATTATAATGTATTATGAAATTTGAATAATATCGTAATCGTAATTTAATATTTATCTCAATCTATTCGTGTTTCTTGGGTTGTTCCATTGTATGAAATAGGTAATAGACTAGGGATTAGCAGTGCCATGGACCGTGAACTTTGTTGTCTTAAGCTGTAGGGGAAATGGGATGTAGGGGTTTTGGGAGGTTACCGAAATGACAATGGACAAATAGAAGCCAGCTAGATAACTAGCACCGGTAAAGAGGAAAGCGATAAATCTCAAGCACTGGGCAGATATATAATGTACCATTATGTAATTAGTGTCTCGTAGGCCAACTGGCCGGGTGCTGTTTTTTAATGAAATGTTTATATGTCCATATATTTAGTACTGCAGCATGTGACACTTTAATAAAACAATTTTCTTCTTCTTTGTCTTCTTCTTCTTCTTCTTCTTCTTCTCCTTCTTCTTCTATATACTCCACAACGTTGTGTTCCTCATAATAAAGAAGTTGACATCCATAACTTCACTTCGTTATGTGTATCGCTTATATGTGCCTGTCAAATACTTGTATTGATAAGCAGGAAAAATAACCCAATACGAGTGCAGAAATACCACGTTAATTCAGGAGGATCGGCATTTGTTCCAGACAACTAAACGACATTTGATCGCGAGCGCAACCCACGGACATTCGTGTTTCCGGAGAACAAGGTTCGCACTGTCGATGCCCAACACCTTGCGTCTGCGATGTCGTCACGTCTCTAAACTTATAACATCATATTCAAAACTAGCAATACCTCATCTGAAACGCACACTAGCCATTTGCAACTAACAGATGAAAAGTATTAAAACAGGTGCTTCGCTCTAAACTTCCAGTGTCAGTCTAGATATTGCCATTCGTCCCTAAACTTAGAGTGAGTATAGTTTTACGCTGCTTTTAGCAATATTCCAGCAATTTTACGGCGGGGGGACACCAAAAATGGGCTTCAAACATTGTACCCATGTGCGAAATCGAACCCGGGTTTTCGCGTGACGAGCAACGTTTTAACCACTAGGCTACCCCACCGTCTCACTAAACTTAGAACGTCATATGTAAAAATATTCATACTCAATGCAAACGCACATGTGAGAACGTGTGACCATAATCAACTGAGAGATGTAAAAGCATGGCTAAAGGCCTTAAAGGAGTGTTTAGTCAACACACATGTGAGGAGAATGCGTGATCCTAGCCCACTGATAGATGACCAAGCCTGGCTAAAGGCCTTAAAGGATGTTTAGTCAACGCCTTATGACGAGAATGTGTGATCCTAGCCAACTGATAGATGACAAAGCATGGCTAAAGGCCTTAAAGCAGTGTTCGAAATACCTGCCTGCATGCCCGACCGTCCGAGACGGGTTGATTTCAACTCGGGCTGCCAGATTTTCAAATCCCCCTGCCCGACGGTCGGGTTATATTTCATTTGTAAAAAGATTCTAAATATTTCCCGATGATAAGCATTATTTACATGATGTATTCTAGGATATTAAATACAAATCTGACCTAAAAAGTGTTTGCTATTTCTTTTCTTGCATTACTTCGTGTTCAGTGAATTCGATTTAAAGTTTTAATTAAATTATCCTGAGAAACATATGATTATAGTGGACAGGCAGGTTTTGGTCAGGGCTGGCAAGTATTTCAGCTAGCCAGTCCTGTGGTCTGGCTGAAAATTTTGGGAGTTTCATACCCTGCTTAAAGAATGTTTAGTCAACGCCTTATGACGAGAATGTGTGACCTAGCCAACTGATAGATGACAAAACATGGCTAGAGGCCTTAAAGGGGTGTTAAATCAACGCATATGTGACGAGAACGTGTGACCTAGCCAACTGATAGATGACAAAACATGGCTAGAGGCCTTAAAGGGGTGTTTAATCAACGCATATGTGACGAGAACGTGTGACCTAGCCAACTGATAGATGACAAAACATGGCCAGATGCCTGAAAGGGATGTTAGTCAACGCACATGTGACGAGAATGCGTGATCCCAGCCCACTCATATATGACAAAGCATGGCTAAATGCCTTAAAGGGGTGTTTAGTCAACGCACATGTGACAAGAAGGTGTGACCCCAGCCAACTGATAGATGACAAAACATGGCTAGAGGCCTTAAAGGGGTGCTACAGTCCATGACATACCGCCTATTTCCAGTCTAAATGTTGAAGTTGTAAAAAGTCACATGTGTGAAACACATAGTGTGTGGTCTTTGTATACTGCTAGATTGATCTACACTTTGAGGTCACACAAAGGCAGAAATTAATGGCTTCCCTGTACCGACTGCAAATCGACCCATGCGTTGTTCCTCTTCAAACGTATGTATCATCAACGTCAGTGAGTGGGAGGTTCAATACGCGATGTCATCACTTGTGTATTATCTGATTGACGACCCCTTTGATCTCGCCCAACAAAGACAGAAGGCGTTATAGATTGTTAACTACAGACATTCCAAGATCTGCCGTAACCCATCCAAACACGTTAACGACATATGATCTGCATAAACATGTATGCTCTCTCCCTCCTCACTCTTCTTACTCTGGACCGTCTCCGTGGTCTAGAGGTAGAGCGTCCGCCCGGAGAGCGGAAGGTCCGGGGTTCGAACCCAGGCCGCGTCACTACAAAAGACGTTAAAAGATGGTACTTGTTGTTACCCTGTTCCTGCGTTCAGCATTAAGGTGCCTAAACAAGGACTGATCGGCTCGGTGTCAGTATACTGTGTCCGCGTGGGGTATTCGTGTTAAACTGCGGCATGGTATCTCAGTTGGCCAGCACTATAAATCCGCATCAGCCCGGACTAGTTCTAGCAGCCACACACACACACGTGCATGCACGTCGCTATATAAGTGCAATAATCTTGGACGCGACGTTAAACCCCATTTCACCTCACCTTCTTACTCTAATGCAAATATAAACGACAAACCCTTTTCCATGACCATTAGCAATATCTGCCTCGAGTCCAATGTACGATTACGATTCAATCATAAGCATGTACTCAAGTCGTGTTATAGAACCCGTCAATATGCCGCGCCGTCTGTGCATAACACACCCAATACAACCAGACGAGCATTGTGTAGTGACACCAGGCAACTGACAATGGTTGTTTGCAATCAGGTTTTATCGATATGCTTGGATTACCAAGGTCCCGACACCTTTTCGTAACTGACGACTAAGACCCCGAAAGACGCCTTCCCGTGACGGCAGGTATTTCAAGTTGGGAGTTGGATACGTCGGAGTGATATAGATGCTGTTCCAGTTTTCCATGTGGATATTGACTTTTGAAGGTAGGTGGTATTCGACATGTGTAAACCCAGTCTTGTGCTACTGCATTATGATCGATAGGAGAGTACTGTTCATGCTGTTTTGTATCATACTGTCGTGTGATATAGTTATATGGTGACGTTTCAGTTCACGGCGTAGATATGTATGACATTCCTATGCACGCGTTAAAAATGCACTTTAATTCATCGTGTTAAATTATACTCTAGAATATGGCAGTTGACGCAATTATACTATATAATAATACTATACACTATTGATAGTTTGTAATAATGTACGTTAATGTGTTTTGATAATGGCCTTTTTCGGTTTTACATCAAAGATTTGAGTCAGTTTTGTTTATATATATGTATGTATGTATGCATGCATGTATGTATGTATGTGTGTATGTGTATGTGTGTGAGTGTGTGTGTGTGTGTGTGTGTGTGTGTGTGTGTGTGTGTGTGTGTGTGTGTGTGTGTGTGTGTGTGTGTGTGTGTGTGTGTGTGTGTGTGTGTGTGTTTATTTAGAGACATCAGACCATAGTGTTTAACTGTTAAAAGAACCTTTAACATGACTCTCACATGATATTTCTCTCTCCCTCTCTCGCTCTCCTTATTTTCTCCCTTCTCTTCTCCCCCCTCCCTCTCTCCCCCTTACTCCCCTTACTCTCTTTCTTCTCTCTCCCCTCCCCACTCTCCCTCTCTCCCTTCTCTTCTTATTCCCCTCTCTCCCTCCCTACCTTTCTCTCTCTCTTCTCTCTCCCCCTCCCCACACACTCTCTCCCTTACTCTCAGCTCCGTCTCTCTCCCTCTTACTCTCTGTCTTCTCTCTTCCTCCCCGCTCTCCTTCTCTCCCTTCTCTTCTTATCCCGCTCTCTCTCCCTCCATTACTCTCTCTTCTCTCTCCCCCTCCCCACACACCCTCTCTCCCTTACTCTCCTTCCCCGCTCTCTCTCGCTTCTCTTCTCACCCCTGTCTCTCTCCCTCCTTTACTTTCACTCTCCTCCCCCACTCATCCACCCCTCTCTCTCCCTCTTACTCTCTCTTCTCTCTCCCTCTCCCTCCCCGCTCTCTCTCGCCCTCCCCCTTCTCTTCTCACCCCCTGTCTCTATCCCTCCTTTACTATCACTCCCCCCCCCCCCCCCCCCCCACCCACCCCACTCACCCATCTCCCCTCTCTCCCTCTCACTCTCGCTCTCACTTCTCCACCCCCCTCTAACTTCTTTTTTCCTATCCCCCTCCCACTCTCTTCTCTCCGCTCTTCTCCCCACCTCCTCTCTCCTCGCTCCCCCCTCTCTCGAGTATCCTCCCATTAGTTAACAAGGCTTAAATAGAATAATCCACAACATCAGATTGCTTAGCGTGTCTTGGTATGTGTATTTATTCTTCACTCCTGTACGTTATAGTGTAAACTTTCTCTGTGTATGCCTGCCCTACCCTACCCTACCGAAGAGTTTTACACAGATAACCGCGAAGTTAAAGTTTTAAATCAAATTATATTAAAAAACTAAAACCATATAAAACATATAACAAAATCAACTGAGAGGTACAGTTTCACTTGCCCCTCATTTTTTGTTAAATATTATAAAAATTGGGGTGTTTATACTGAACCAAAAAAAAATAAGAGATCATGAATATGTTGGGTATTTTTTACTGAAATTGTGTGCTCCGTCTTCACTTTAAAACATATCCCCCAAAATATTCATCATCCATAACTCTTTTGTTCAGTATATATTGTGACAAACGCCGCTAGCTATATTTTTTATGTCAATATCAGAGTATAATCGATGATTTTACCATATTTATAAATACCCCCAAAATGCCATTATTGATAAACTTGTTATGTTACGAAACATTTATCAAAAATCGAAGAGACTATTTACGTAATGCAAACTATTCTCAGCAAACAAATATTTTTAGATTTCATGTGGTAAGATCGAAATATCTTATACACATATATCAGTCTGATAAACGTTGTCGATGACATGATGTCGGTGTTATATCCGCTGTACAACAAATATAACGCGGCGATCGGATCTACAGACAGCACTGGCTAGAAAACAGCCGGTATTTAGGAAAATAACAGCTTGTATTTCGTTCCGCCAATTTGCATATTGGGCCTCAAGGCTTATAATACTTTTACAGTTTTACTGTTGCATGCTTGCTGGTATCTCTTACGGACACACACACACACACACACACACACACACACACACACACACACACACACACACACACACACACACACACACACACACACACACACACACACACACTCACTCACTCACTCACTCACACACACACTCACACACACACACTCACACTCTCACTCACTCACTCACTCACTCACTCACTCACTCACTCACTCACTCACTCACTCACTCACACACACACACACACACACATATAGAAAAACAAACAATCATTTGTTTTAATTGACTCGCCCCACCTTAGCGCTCTAGCAGCCATTACTCATCCTTTACCTCTAGCAGCGCACACTCATATGGGCTTTGGGGTAGCCTGGTGGTAAAAACGTTCGCTCGTCACGCCGAAGACCGGGTTCGATTCCCCGCATGGGTACAATGTATGAAGCCCATTTCTGGTGATAATGCTGAAATAGTGCTAAAAGCGGCGTAAAACCATACTCACTCCCTCCCTCCCCCACACTCATCCCTTTTCAGCTCCAGGAAATTTAGAGACTTAGGGTTCCTGAATACTCGAGTTTTCCTTTATAGAAGTATTTGCCTTTTAAACTTCTACACAAATGTATTTCGAGGACTGGTTGCTAGTATAGCTGTTTACATTGTGTGGTTTAGATTCGGAAAAGAACCAAGCTATATCAAAATATTTGATTTTTCAACTTTGTACATCACTATCCCACATGACACACTTAAGGAAAAACTTCATTTCTTGATCCATATGAAATTTGTTGCTAAACGTGGTGGCCATAGATATAGTCACATGCATATACCTATCTTAAGGGGTTCAGGAGAATTTAAAAAAAAGAAGCAAATGCCATCTGTGGTTTGCTGAGATATAAATATGTGAAATGTGGGACTTCCTCATTGATAACATCTACGTTACAGTTTTGGATGAGACATTTAGGCAAGAAGTAGGCATCCCCAGAGGCACCATTGTGCCCCCCTTCTTGCTCATCTGTTTCTTCATGCATAATGATCGGAATTTCTGCCCGGATTGGCAAAGTCAAAACTAGGTAATTTGGCCAAGAATTTTAATTAAATACTAAGGGGTGGTTGGTCGGTTGGTTTGTTGTTTTACGCCGCACTCAGCAACATTCCAGCTATGTGACGGCGGTCTGTAAATAATGGAGTTTGGACCAGACAATCCGGTGATTGATATCATGAACATCGATCCGCGAAATTGGGATCGATGACATGCATCAACCAAGTCAGCGAGCCTGCATGGGTTGCTAAAGACCTGTTCTACCCCGGATCTTCACTGGGATCTGAAATCGTCCAATAACCATCAAAGAGCCAGTTTCCTTTCCACTGATTTACCCACCTGAACTAGGAATAAAGGAGACCAGTGAGACCGCGTCTTCTGTGTCATATTTAGATCTATGCATCAGGATTCAGAGTGACAAAAACTGGACTATATGGACTATATGACAAGATGGTTGACGTCAACTTTCCAATAGTTAACTTTCCCTAGACGTCGAATAAAATTCCAGCAGCTCCAGCCCTTGGTGTCTACATGTCATAGGGGGCACGGGTGGCCCAGTCGTCTAAGGCGCCGCGATTCGCCGTGCAGAGTTGCGTCCCTTGGGCACACCAGAAACCTATGATTGGGGGTTCGAATCCCGGTTCGCCCTGATTATGTTTCTAGGTTTGTCAGCACCATACCCGTGCTCGTGGGTTTCACCGAAGTGGTAAACGTCTGAGACCTGCATCACTTCGGGCTTTCCTCCAACATTAAGCTGACACGCCGCGATATAACTTGAATACTGTTAAAAGCGGCGTTAAACCCAACTCACTCACTCACTACATGTCATAACGTTATCGTGGTACAACCGAGCAGGCACTTCCATGTGGTCTACCCTTCTAGGTACCGATCAGTGAGCAGAGATAACCAAGATCATTAATACAGCGAATAATTATGGATGAAACACGTTTCTGGACCATTACGTCAAATAATAAGCGTTTACGTAAGACAACGTAAACGAATCGACGTGTCGATATATAAGATATGACCGCATATGGAGACAGAGAAGGAGGCGGTCGGGTAGCCTAGTGGTTAAAGCGTTAGCTCGTCACGCCGAAGACCCGGGCTCGATTCCCGACATGGGTACAATGTGTGAAGCCCATTTCTGGTGTCCCCCGCCGTGTAATTGCTGGAATATTGCTAAAAGCGGCGTAATACCATACTCACTCACTCACTCACAGAGAAGGGTGGTTCAGTATAGGAACTATAGTTTTCATTGAATGACTATATAAATCAGATGCTAAAACATGCAATGAATATCAACGACGCTTTCATAATTCATACAATATTGCTAGGGCCTATTCTCTTCACATAATACCCGAACAATTATCGAATCCTTACCGACAAACTCGAATTGATCGAATTGGCTACAAAATTGAATGAGTGGCAGTTGCAGCAATATTTTCATCACGTTAAACAAAGACCTGGGCTTTCTTCAAAGCTCTCGAATCAATGTTCGCGAACTCTCATAGTAACCATGGCGGCACCAGAGCCTTAAGTGTTTACATAATGACGATAAGAGCTTGCGATAAAACGTTTTCATCAAATATTTGAGCTTGTCAACGGAGGACTTTAACAGTTCATTTCAAGGTCAACGTTTGCTTAGAGTGGTTATAATATTCCTAATACTATATAAAATATTAACAGCTAGGTCATACAGCCTCCATGCTGTAGTAAATAGTGCGCCTGCCGGGGTGCGCAATGGCGGTGGTTCGATCCCCGGCCATGCCAACATACGTTAACATAATGGTACTTGTTGTTATCCTGCCTGCCGCTCGGCATTAAAGGGATAAAGAAAGACA